GCCTGAGATCAATTTATCCAGGAACAGTTCATGGTTAGTCTGGGACTTTCTAACAAGTACTTATCCTGTGCTTGATTTTTATTTTTTAAATTCATGGAAGAGCACAGTTTTTTTTAAATATACGTAGTATCAATTTTTGCATTCTTATCCGTAACAAATAGTATTATTTGCCTAAAAGTCCAACAGACCTTCAAATGGGATTTTTTTCTTAAGAAATATTATAGAGTCAGTTCAAAAATACTATTTGTTTGCAACAAAAGGCAAGCTTCAAAAACCAAAACTATAAACTCTAAAGCATTGCCTACATTTAAGCGTATTATATGTAACTTTAGCCAAGTCACACACCACAATCTGATTGTAACAATATTATGTAGGACAAAAATACAAAAAAAAAAACTTCTTTTTTAAACATTGCTGCACTATTAAAAATTAAACCATAAGTTAGAAAAATCTCCTGTAATCCAGAGTTATTTACTTTTATCTCCATATAAGTGCGAGTTCTTCAATGGCATATTTTAGTTACTCGATAATAAAAATATTTATCAGCTATTTCACATGGAGTAGTTGGCTTGAGGAATTTTTTCACATAAATATTTATATATCTATCTGTGGCATACTTCGCCTTGACTTGCGCCCTCATAACCCATAATTTTTTTCCAGGCGATATCTTGTCAATGATAAAAGTTTATAAAAAATAAAAAAAATACATAAGGGTTTTTTAAGTTAATCATTTCTCAAGTATGTATGTTAACATAAAAGTTATTGACCATTATCAGCGGTTGCATGCATATCAAAGGCGAAAGCAAAGAAAATAAGAAGGGATAAGAGAAGGTGACAGAGACTGTTGCTAATTTGTAGAACTTTTTAGTCAACGCTTGCCACAGAGTACTCAACTGAAACTGAAAAAGCGTGTGTGAGTTGAGTTGCCTGCTGACATATTTATGTGGAAGTGCTTAAATGTATAACACGCAACACACCCAACAACTTTTCTGCAAACAAATGTTTACACATAACTCTACACCGATTAAGCACTCTTATTCTATTCTCCTTTACGGAACATTCTCATCGCTATTGTTGGCAAATAAAGTGGGCGCGGCTATGAAGGCAACAGTGGAAAAAAGTGCAATAAGGGTAAAGTAAGGATATTTTTATAGCGATACCCGAACATTCCTTAGGGAAGGGGGTTGTGCTTTTGTAAACAATGTTGAAAACACTATACCGTTATGTTGACACAAATATAATATTTTAAGTCAACTTTGTGTAAGTCACTTCAGCAAAAAAAAATTTCGGCAAGTAGTTAGTGGCTTAAGTAGTCCTTTTTGGTAAGAAGAGTGATGAAAATAAAATGTAAACGGAGATCCTTTGAAATTTGAGTGAAATATTTCGGCTTTTTTTTTTTTTTTTTTTTTTTTTTGATTGGAGTTCATAAAGTTTTGGGTCAAATATTGACAGTCTTCTTTGTGCATATTTCGGTAATTAATTTGCGATTGCTGCTTTTATTATTAGTTAATTAATCAATTACATTAATATGCCTAGGCGTCCGTTAACACATTGCAATGTTACTTTGAAAGTTAGAATTTAATGAACTGGTGAAAATTCATAAATTTAGTTATAACAAATGTGCATAAATATATAGCTATTGGCATGTGTAAATAATTTAATGAAGTTTTCACCTCGAGCATGAGTATATTAGTTAGCTATTTAGGCGATTTAAATTTAAATTTATTTTATTTTTATTTGAATTTGAATTTGAATTTTAATTTTAATTTTAATTTTAATTTTAATTTTAATTTTAATTTTAATTTTAATTTTAATTTTAATTTTAATTTTAATTTTAATTTTAATTTTAATTATAATTATAATTTTAATTGCAAAGTTTTAAATATTAAGTTATTCATCTATAGAAAGAAACAAATTATAGATATCATTTGATCTGCTAATTTTATTGTATAATTTTTAGTAAATTTTTATTTGAACATAAGTATGTATTTCGACTAATTTGCTGATTTATGCTTCCAATTATTTTCCAATTCCAACTCATCACCATAGCGGCCGCCATAGCGTTCCACTTGCCCCAGCTTTTTTTCATAAAAACTTTTAAGGTGAAATTAAAAAATAATAAGTGCACATTACTGGCATCACGGACGTTTGCTGCGCCGTTACACGTGTAGCGTATATATGTATGTTAGTATATAACCTTTGACCTCTCTTATAAACCAACATATATATTATATCGTTTCACATTGTTATTTGCTGCACACTCCAATCTCGACTCATGTTGCATGAATTAAGGAGAACGCGTGGCAGCCATATGAAAATTGGTCGAAACTTTTGGCTCTTCGGACATTTCTCGGTATTTTGCATTCAATAATTACTATGAATATTAAGTAAGTACACGTATTTACTTTTTAGATCTGTGGCGCCTCCCTGGCACTTTGACGGCATGGCACGAAAGTTTTCGCGAGGTAATTGAGTAATGTTGCAACAGACTGCTGCCAACTTGTTATTATTGGCCAAAATGTTATAACGAGTTTTTGTTTTGTCTACGAAGTTTCTTCCTTGGTGCTAGTATGTGTGTGAGCATGCGTGCCTGTTTCAAAGCATGTCAGAATGCAAATCACTTCTAACTCAACAAAACGAAATTATTTGTTATTGACAACTATTTTTCAGATTTTGTTATTGCAACATTGCGTTGTTAGTACATTTTCAATGAAGTTTTATGTAAAAAAAAAAAAAATGGTAAAAATTATTTGTTTTTGCTGACTTGAATACTTACATACTTATACACACATGCATATGTATAAGTGTTTATATTTACATATATGCATATGTAATCAAATATATTCTTTTTATTTGCCTGTGTTACAGTTATTTTATTTTATATTGGTTTTATTCATAAATAAGTTTGTTTATTGGCTTGTGACAGCGCAGTGAAGCGCAAAGCAGTTTTCATGCAATAAATTGGCTTGTGAAAATTTTTATTTGTAGCATAAAAAAATTGCAAAAAGACAACAAAGTGTGGAAAACAGTGGTGAACAGGGCTAACTTTACCGTTTGCTGCCTCATTTGACTGCTTTCGTATTTTAAAATGACGGTATATTTTATTTTAAATTTTGTAATACCACGGTTGAGCACACCTTATACGATAACGGTAAGCTATAAAATTTATGTAACATTATTTTTAATAGCTCTTACTCAATTAAAATATATGAAAAAAAACAGGTTTACAAGAAGGCATGATTTTAATTATTTTTAACTTTTAATTAAATTTTTAATTTATAAATTTGTATTACTTTGGTTTGTATAAATATATTGTATTTAATTTAATCTATTTAAACTTTGTTTTACATTACTTCATTTTATATTGTATTATTTTATTTTTATTTTTATTTATATAGTTTTATTTCATTTTATATTATTTAATTTAATTTATTTTAATTTTATTTGATTTTATTTTATTTTATTTTATTTAATTTAATTTAATTTTATTTGATTTTATTTTATTTTATTTTATTTCATTTAATTTAATTTAATTTAATTTTATTTTATTTTGTTTTATTTTATTTTTTTTTATTTTATTTGATTTTATTTTATTTTCTTTTATTTTATTCATATTATTAAATTTAAATAAATTTAATTTATTAAAATATAATTTAATACAATATAATTTAATTTAATTGTACTTTATATTTTTTTCTAATTTTGTTTTAAATTTTTAATTTTATTTTACTTTATATCATTTAAGTTGGTTTTCGGCAAACAGAGAAGCATTCTGTTAAGAAAGACACAGATGATCGCCTGTCTTCTTTCACATTTTATAACGAAAATTTTGATTAAAAAATTAGTCACACGAGTAATTTGGTTCCTTACTCATACATAATTTGTTTATGGGTAACGCAAAGGAAATATGAGAAAGAAAAAAAAATTACTCTTTCTGGAAAAAACAAAGAAGATTATATTAGAGTATTATGGTAATTCGATGCATTGCGTGTGATGCGAGTAAGAAGTAAAGTTGAGCGCAAGGAGCTCGTGTATATCATACATATACGTGTTTACATATGGACTTGAGTATTTTAATGCCAGCAAATATCAGGTTCAGTCACTGTGTCGCCTGACAGGCAATATGTACGTAAGTGTATAAGACCGTAATGTTACTTATCGAAGTATTTGTACGTTTTAATTTTTTAAAGAGCGTAACATGATACCAAGCAGAAATTATGAGCACTTTTCAACAAATTGTAAATATGTATGTCCAAATGAGAGAGATTAAATATATATAACCAAATCTGGAGTGAGTAAAGTGGAAAACAATGGGGAATCGTTTCATAAAAAGCAATGTTTATGCTGGAAGGTCAAAAGTAACATAACTCTTGCTGCCTTGTGGTTAAGAAAATAATTATACTTCTGTTTTCCCTTTATTCATTTTCTTTTATTTTTTCTATTCTTTATTCGTTTTATTTTTTTTTAATTTCCTTTTTGTTTTATTTCATGTTTTAAATTATTTCAAACTATATGTCATTTCATTTCAATCCACATTTAATTATTTTATTTGTGGAGTGTTATGTTTATTATTATTTTTATTCTTTCATTTAATTTTATTTATATTTATTTTATTCCAATTAAACTTATTTGATTTATTTTATATTTTATTTGATTTGATTTGATTTGATTTGATTTGATTTGATTTAATTTAATTTAATTTAATTTAATTTAATTTAATTTAATTTAATTTAATTTAATTTAATTTATTTTATTTTATTTTATTTTATTTTATTTTATTTTATTTTATTTTATTTTATTTTATTTTATTTTATTTTATTTTATTTTACTTTATTTTATTTTATTTCCTTTTATTTATTTTTTAATTTCATAATTTTTTAATCTTATTTCTACATTTGTTCTTTAATTAAGAAAATTTTCATTTGTTCTTAACTTTCCCAAATAATCTTTTTGAAGTTCTTTTTTGTTAGTTTAATTATTAATATAATAATGTTACATACCTTAGCACTTATTTTGTGATGATCACATGCTCATAATCTGCAAAAAAAATAAATAAAATATTTTAGTAATTCAAATATTTCAATAAGAATTTAAAGTTATTGGAAAATATTTATTTAGTCAACATTAAAAATCCTAAAAAATAGTATTCCTAAAAAGCAAATTACTAAAAGAAATCTCAGGATATTTATGGAAATTAAAAAAAAAAAATTAACATAAAAAATAAAGATTATGTTTTATGTATTATGTAAAATACTTAAATATTCACTTGCCTAATAAAATCGCTATTATTATTCAAAAACATGATTGAACCGCCCTGCATTACAGTCACTTGAAATATCTTCAAATTTCCCCTGAACTTTTATGCGCACATTATAAAGAATTAATACATGAGCAGTGAGTCTATACACACTCAAACATACACATAAATAAAGTATAATTGTATATACTTAAGTGACAAGTGAGTTATTTCCTACACTTCATCCCACTTGAGCACTTAGAAGCCATCACTCAGGTCGTAATTCCTGCTCGAAAAAAATATGAAACAAAAAGACTGAAAATAAACAAAATTAAACAAAGTTACAATATTACAATAATTAACTCAAAACAAACAATAGCAACTTTATGGCGTTGACATTATACGAGTATTCGCTGAAATGCATTTGGGAAATGACATGAACGCTTTTCAAGGACTACTAAAATGGGACAAGGACTGGCATGTCGGCGACGGTAATATAAGGCAAGTATATATGTATATCTATATATCCATGAATGTATGTTTTTTTTTTTTACTTTTATGACTTTGACTTATATACGAAACAGAAATTTTACAAGCTGTACACTAAAAAAGTAAAAGTTTAAAAAGGAGAAAAAAACTATATGAATAAACTTAAACACTTACATAAGGAAACGGAAGTCGGCGACTTTCCGTGAAAAAGTCATACAAAAAATTTGATATTATTTATTTCAATGACTTGGTATTATTTCAAGTTTTTATTTTTTTTTTTTGTTTTGTAAGGAATGCTCAAAGGATTTTCATATAATTCCGCCGTCTTCTTAAATTACAATTTATTTAAATATATATTATTTTACATAAAACTGTACAGCTCTTATTACATTCCGTAAGCAATTTCTTCTCTTCTAAGTGGAGCGTTAAAAATTCAAATTACGCTCATTAACTTGAAAATGGATAGACATACATACTTCGCAGTACATTTGTATATGTGAGTATGTATAGCACACGCAATGGCAAACAGTCGCCAATTGTCTGTGGCTAAAAGAGCGGAAACTTTTTATTGTACTCATACACATGTAAGTGGCTGCGCGTGTGGTCTGTGCGCTGCCTGTCGGCTCAGTCGAGTGACCAACAAATGATTTGTGTTAAAGGCAGGATTTGGCTGTTGCATGTCGAATATTCAGTATATTTGATAAGAATTTGCTGAATATTTTCGTGTTATATTCAAATTAGCAAAAATAACGTTGGCATTTTTTTATATTTTTATTTGCATAGCTTTGTAGATACATACATATACGAGTACATATGTATACAGTAAATTTTTGGTATTTGCATAAGCTAAATTTTTCCATTAACAAGTGAGAATGTGTTTTTATACCATTCAAAATGTATGTATTTGGTATTTAATATGAGAAGCAGACTTTAGAAAAATCAATACTATTGTTAGGTTTGGCTCTTGGCGACGTTGCCAATTTTCTTTTGTAAAAATTCTTGAATTCACAATTTCAAACTTGTTGAAAAAAATTTCAATATATTTTTATTGTTTATTATTATATTTATTTATCCAGTGAAACTTCCTTTCAATAAAGCTAAATACCAGTCCTCGTTTTCTCATCAAGCTGCTAAAAGAACTGCATATGGCTCCGAGTTTTTGGTCTCGCTATTTTTTTTTAAGTTATAAATCAACGTTTAACTGAATACTCAGGCATCTCAATCTTTAGTGACTGTCAGACAGTAATGAAAGCACTGAAATCGATCACTATAAATCTAAATAAATATCATGCTAAGCATTTGGTATGCCCCTCCCTTTAATCAAAACGCTACTTAAGGAAGCCATAGTGGCAGCAAGACGAGAGCAAGTAGTTAGATATGAGAGCGGAGATGATCGTATATCTTACCTATATCTGAAGATATAATATATATTTTTTTTTTAGTGAAGCTAAGATTCGAGAACCGTTAAGCCAATCTTGACGAAATTTTCAGAGTTTGGTCGCTATGGAACTGCAAAGATTTAGAAATATAAAAAGGCTTTATACTTTTTCTGTCGAGAAGATTAAAAATGGGAAAATTCCAAACAGTGACTTTTAATAATTTTTTTTTGTGTTTTTCTTAAAATTGCATTTTTTAACTCTACCTCGTTTTAAAAAAAATTGGTTTCTCTTTATGATTTCTTTATTTGAACAGTTTTCGTGTGTAAATTATTCAAAAATGTTGTTTAAAAAGCTAAGTTACAATGAAAAAATGTACACAAATCGTAAAGAAATGATTTTTAATTTACTATAGAAGAAAGTTGAACTTTCTTCTCAACTTTTCAAATAACGACTGTGTGGTCAGCTAAGTTAAATATTTAAAAACTAAAAACCCACTTAATTAAATACATTTTAAAATTCCTTGAAGACGGAGTCGCTGATAAACTCTACTATATATTTTTACAATAGGAGTTTTTCAAACGCTGGCCGAGCACCTTTTCCTACATATTCAGGGATTTACATGACATAGACTCTTTGAAAAATAAGGACATTTACAAGTTGATTGGGATGTGGAAGATAATTAGCACCAACGAACGGCATACAAAAAAGTTGAGTATATTTTTGAGAACAGGGTGTGACAAAATGACGAATGGGAGGAGAGAATTTTCATATTTTATCCCTGCTTGAGTCAAGATCGAATATTAAAAGTATTGCTCAACAGGACCCAAGCAACCTGGGTACGCAAGGATTTATGTTTTTGACTCCGTGGGCTTAATATACGAATGAGTATAAGCTGAGCGTGCCACCATTGGGCCATAGTCGAGTTCTGTTCCGATCAACATTCAAAAATATTGAAAATTAATTTTTCTAATTGCAGTCGCTCCTCGGCAGGGAATGTCAAGGCTTCCGAGTATATTTCCGCTTCAGTGGTTACAAGGCGCCAATTATATATCAAAGGTTCAACTTTTTTCATGTAAAATCTAGAAAAAGGTGACAAACATTTAAACTATTTCAATTATCTTGTTAGGTTAGTAGCAAAAAAAAAAAAGCAATTAAAATCTATCTCAAGCTCTTACGAGTTAAGAGGATGAAAACTTAAACTTCTTATAGCAATCTATTGGTTTCACTTCAAAATTGTTGAACGTTAGAACGTTTCAGAGACTTTTTTTTAATTTTCAGCTGGAAAAAAGGAACCCAAAGTATAAAAAATTGTATATGCACCAGCTGTAAGTATACAAGTATGTACTTGCTGTGCTATTAGAACATTACGAACAACATTTCGATCAAAATAAGTGCCATCAGTCAATCAACTAATGGCAATAAGCCCAAGCATTGCACAAGTCATGTACCCGAAAATATATGTAAGAGTATATCCAAACATACAAACAAAGAACAGCAACTGATGATTTTCAAATGTGTATATGTGTATATAGTGTTATGGAAGAAGCAGTGGTTATATGGAATGGATATGTAGTAAGCAATTTGTGACATATGAAATCATGTGCGCGCATATTTACTTCCACTTGATAGCATATTGCGGAAAAAAAAACAAAAAAAAGAAAAATAATAAAAATACAGGGAAATGATGGCTAGTTATATGCCTCTATGTCTAAGTATATATTTTAGTACATACATTTATTTGTCAGTTCAAATCAGGCAGCTTTCAACACATTCATTGGAGTTTCTTTTTTTTTTTTTTTTTGAAGAAAAACCCATTAGCATTTAAATATGTCAAAATAGTCTATATATGTGTAAGTGTAAGCGTTCGATGTTTATGTGCACATATATACTTACTCTCATATTTCAATTCGCACTTCACACTTTTTGAAGTCTCAACCCGTCGAATTCGTCATGAGACTCTTTACTACGTCACTCAGGCAACTCAACTTGTGTGGAGTGTGCGTATGTACAATATGTTTGTGTGAATGTTATAATCTTTTACCCTTCCAACAGCGGCCCCTTTTATTAACCTTTTGGTATTGTCAAAATCATTCAACATCTACATCTGTAAATGGCGTGTTAAGTGCCTTGATTGTATTGACTTGTCGAAAATGAAGATGCGAATGAGAAGGAAAATGATGAAAATGGTAAGCTTAGATTTTTTGTTCTTTACATTTTTAGGTTTTGTAATATACATACATACATATAAATCAAGCAACAGAAGGGATTTAGTAAAATTTTGGAAAAACATTGCATTCGAAAAAGAAAAAAACTATTATTTTAAACGATTTTGTGAAAGTTAAATACCTGAAATTGCGTAGGGTTGCCATATGGTTAAAAATTGTATAAAGCTATTTAATTGTTATGTTAAAACTTTAAATTTTGGCCCTCAAAGTAGTCATCATTATGAAAGCATCACAAATATTGTCATTTTGTGAAAGTTAAATGCCTGCAATCGGGTATGGTTGCCATATTCTTAAAAATTGGTTAGAGCCATTTACTTTATATTTTAAAATTTTACACTTCTGTACTGAAGGAGTTATCATATGGAAAGCATCACAAATATTGGCATTTTGTGAAAGTTAAATACTTGCTACCTGGATAGGGTTGCCATATTTTTAAAAATCGTATAGAGCCATTTGCTTTTTATGTTAACATTTCACACTTCTGTACTGAAAGCAGAGATCATATTAAATATTGACATTTTTGAATAGGGTGGCCATCCTTTTTTTTGTGTAAATGGAAAAGATATTCTAATAAAGTATAGGCTTTCAAAATGATTTACGAAAGCATTGGCTCAGATATGTGTAAGGTTCTAGTATATATTATTTTCAAATAAAATTCCTTAGGGAGGAATCTGGCGACAAAGTATGTTGTCTTGAGCAAGGTTGCCA